AAAAAATGTATAAAGAAGAGAAAAGAAAATAGATGATGAGAGAGAAAACGTTCCCGGGATAAAAGGCTAAACTCTGGGCTAAAATCGAGATGGGGGATTAGCTGAGGATTTAGGTAATCTATGCTCCCCTTTGCTCCTAATCACCACGAATAATCAGGAGGCACAGAGGCCGGGGCTAGCCATAACAGACAGAGCCGTGCTCCGTGCTCGCCCGGGCTTGGTGAGACATGCAGGAATCCATGCCCTGGGCCTGGAGACAGGGTTTGTGCTCGTCTGGGTCAACTTGGTCTTTCCTGTCCCCTGCTCTGCCCACCTCCTGCTCCACTGTGGTCCTGCATTGCCCCATGCTGTGCGCAATTGGCAGTTGAGAGGGCTGTGTGTTTTCTGGTGGCAAGGGCTGGTCTTGGTCTCATTTCTTCCACAGGATGCTTTTCTGTTGTGTTTCTCCTCTTAGACAGTCAGAGGTTTGTGAGTGGAACTTTAACCACTCATTGCCAAGTAGGGAGTGACCTGGCTCTCTCTTCTTCTCTACGCCATCCCAAGGGTAGGATTATAGGGCAAATGTGTGTGTGTGTGTAAGCGTGTGTGGTCTTGTGTCCCCATGCCTCCTGGACAGCTCAATTGTTCCCTGTCCCCTGTGTTTATGTCTTCCAAGTGTTTACAGATGGTTCTAGCCCATTCTTATAGTTACCGGAGTGGCCCTTCTAATCCTGTCATCCCAAACTTTCCTAAGCAGAGATTGAGTGTTTCAGAATAGTGTGTGCCCATTTCTGGGGGGCTCCATCTCTGAACCCATGGTCATGAAGAGACCCATGAAATAGACCCCCTGTCTTGCATTCAGGAAAGTGACTTCTTGGTACCTGAGAAAGCTGATAGATGTGAATTTCAAGATGCATTTGGGAGGTGACGGAGAAGGACAGAGGGTGACCATGGCTTTAAGAGTGGACTGGCTTCTGGGTCCTCAGATGTGGGATGAGCTTGTGCTCCTTCACACTTATTGATTAGCATTTGGATGAAGTCTAGAAAAGCACTGCAGGAATGGTTGATTGACCGATTGATTAAAGGGCTTGGGGGGGGGCTACAAAAATACTTATGGGTCAATTGACAAATAGTTGAGTAGATCTAGATGTTTCAGTTATCTATTGCTGTATAACAAACCACTTCAAGAATTATTGGCTTACTATAAAAATAATCTGTTCTTTTTAATGTGTCTGTGGTTCTTTAACTCGTTTTACCTAATAACTTCACTCCTGAACTCATCCAGGTGGAGATCAGCTGGGCTGGAATGTCCAAGGTGACACCCTTTGCATGTCTGCAGGTGGTGCCAGCTGTAGGCTGAGCCACTTTCATTTTTTCTGTGTGGCCTGTCATGCCCCAGTAGGCTAGGCCAGCTTCCCTGAGCGGTGGTCTCAGGGAGGCTTCCAGGAAATTGAAAGTGGGAGCTGCAGGGGCTCCTGAGGCCTCAGGCTGACACACAGCATCACCTCTGCCTTGTATTGGTCAAAGCAAGTCACAGTCCACGTGGAGGAGTCCACACAAGGGCATGAATACAGGGAGGTGTGACTTACTGGGGACCATTTTGTAACAATCTCACATACTGAGTAAAAGAAAAACATAGCTTAGAATAAAAATCAGATTAGCCTGTGGCAATGAGAGATGAAGAGAGGTGAAGAACAGAGGTGAAGAACGCAGCTAGTGCTGAAATGCCAGCTCTGCCACTTCCTGGTTCTATGACCTTGATCAAATTACGCAGCCAGTGTGTGTTTCTGCATCCTCCTGCTCAGTGAGGATAATAACACCTATGTCAGAGGCTTGTAATGAGTTTGAAGTGAGTTAACACAAGTAAAGCACCTAGGACTAAGTGTGGCACATGGTAAATAAACAAATGTTAGCTACTGTGATTCATTTTATAGTTCCGTAAGGGTGGTTACAAATCTGGTGTTAAGTTTTCCAGTTTTGGGGCAAAGACAGAAAAATACTCAGGTACAAGATTCGTAGTGGGCATGAACTGAGACAACATCGTAGGTTCAGAAGAAGCTGTGCTGTGTTGAACACACTTTGTTTTGAATGCAGTATTTAGGGCAGTCTGCAAAGAGACTGACCTGGAAGAACTGTAGAAAATAAATGCATTTTTCTGCTAGAGCAAATGGTTAGAAGCAATACTGCATAGAGGTTGGCAAGTTGGGCTTGACCTTCAGGATCCCCCCCAGCCCCCAGCTGAGTGACCTTGGGAAAATACACGAACCTTCCTAGAGTTCAGTTCCTTGTCTACAAAATGGGCATAATAGTGTCCACCGCACATGGGCAAAGGAATTATGCAAGTAAAGCCCTTAGTCTATTGCCTGGTATGTGTTACTCAATGAATGTTTGCTTTTGTTGTTATTAGTTATAAAATGACTTTAAGATTTTCTCTTTGTTGGAAGACAAACTGTATACTCTTCACAAATGGTTGGTCCTACTACAATAAACCACTCCTGTCTTAGAGGGCACTTAGATTTGGAGGAACTGTAATGCAGTAATAAATAGATAAATAATAAAAAAATAATAAAGTAGAAATATAATATAAAAATATTATAGATAAATATATAAATATTATAAATAAATATATAATATAAAAATAATAAAGTAAAAATAATAAAAGCCCTGCATTTAGCCTTCTCTTTGATTCTGTGCTACTGCCCATTTCTCAAAATTAGTGAGCTTTTCATTTTTATGATTTTATTCTCCATAGAACTTTGCATTCACTGACGAGAAACATTTCAGAGCAACCTTCAAGGACGTCCAGAAATCGGTCAACAGGGCCCCAAACCCTGGGTTCGCACCTCTGCCTAGATGGCTCCTGTCCTCGTGTCTGTGGGTTTCAGGACCCCCAGTGGTGTGAAGCCAGGTCCGTCGTTCGCTCTGGCCCTGGGGAGGTTTCTTCCTGCTCTCTCTGCCTCCTGCTTTCAGTCTGATTTATGGCCTTAGAAGGTCGGCCTGCAGAGTCTTAATTTAAAGCCTCTGTCAGAGGTTGTTACATGAACGTGGTGCCAGTAAAAAGCTGTTTTCCTTTGGGTTTGCTCCTCTATTGCCTCTTTCATGGCATGAAATACGAGGTAGGAAAATAAGGCTACCAAATTGGAGTGGGGGGAGCTATTGAAAAATTCTTGCGTAATCCCCCTGAAGTTGCCATGGCACCTTCCCAGCCAGGGGGTGAAGGCAAAATTCTGGGTCTTTAAGCCAAGTTTCCCAAGGCCGCCCTCACCACTTGGTTTTTCTATCTTTTTCCTAAGCTGCCTCTAGATGCTGTTCTGGTGGTAGTTAGTGGAGGCAGAATTCCTAGCCTGAGGTCAACTCTTTTAAGCTCTTCTCCCTCTAAATAGAATAGGGGATTCTATTTAGCTCTGCTGCATTTGCATTATGAAAACAATAGTTTTTAAAAAAATTTTCCACATTCAAAATTATATTTTAATAATGAATATGCTATACATACCTGCCTCCTGGCCCTCAGATATTTTTATGCCCTTAAGGAAATAGTCCCCTTAGCCTGCAATGGGCATCATTGGGCTGTTGTGTTTCCTAGCAGTGAGACAAAGAATGGTTTTCCCATCATCATCTGGCTTCTCTCTAAAACAGCATTGAGCTACTTCGTGTCTCTTTGTACACTCACAGTTTGGCTAAACCTATGCACTTTACATATATGTGCATTGTTAACAGAGCCATTCATGATACCCAAGGGGCTCAGCTCCATAGAGCTGAGTGTCTGCGATATTGGTCATCTGTGCTGTGACCAGCGTGGTTCTCCAGGTGGCCGAGACCATGTTCCTGGCTCTAAGAATGGTATTTTTGTAACACGCTGTCAAAATTCCATGGAATGCCCAAGACTATATTCCTGTCAACTTCTTTAAAAGGAAAACTATAGAATAATGTTATGAAAAAAATAAACAAATAAATGAAGAAACAAAGGAAGAGTACAAGTTTATGATGCGATTCCTTTTTTTGTAAAAAAAAAAAATAATTAGAAGTCCATATTGGTATTTGCATGAATGTGTGTGCACAACTGAAGATTTAGGGAAGGTACAGTGTTTAAACTTTGGTGGAACTAGGGATTTTTGAAAAAATCTTCAAAAAAATTTCTTTATAATAAGAAAAGAAACCCAACACCATTTATTTTTAATAAGAAGAACAAAAACAAAAACACCAAAAGGAAAGTCTTTTGACTGGTAGACGGGGTAGGATTTTCCGGTGCGAGGCTGTGCAGGTGTGAGACCCCCCTGGAGCTGGCCGTGCCTGGCACACCGTGTCTCGGCTCCGGGCCTGGCTCCAGGGGAACCAGGTTTGGCTGTTCGGACGTGTTCACATGTTCCCAAGGCTGCGGTACATGGACGGCACCTTCCTGCTGAGCCTGTTTTCTCCCCCACTGGATGGGAGCAGCATTGTGTAATGGGCTCAAGTCCACTCAGCCTCCTTTGTCCAGCCACTTTGGAGGGTGGGAAGGAGCCGGAGTTAACCCTTGCGCTCCTCGTGGGTGCTGAGCATCGCTCCACGTGAGGCTGGTGGCTGTCCTGCTGTGTCTGTCCTGCAGTGTCTGGGCTTAGGGGTGTGCCTGCACACAGGCATGCCTGCATCTGCTCGCCAGGCAGCCAGGCCTCTGAGCCCACCTCTCCTGGAGCCAGCAGACAGTGCATCGCAGGAGCCTCTGGAGCGGTGAGGAAATTCCACCCTGGGCAAACTGGCCCTGAGAGGCAGCCCGGGAGTGCCCGGCTGGCTTGTTGCTGCAGTAGAAGCTGTCGGGCGAGGACGGCAGTGGAGATGGCCACGGGGTGGCTCTGGGCCTCCAGTGCCTGCACCAGGGGCTGGCGGTAGATGAGGCTCTTTGTGGTGACTCAGCAGCCATGCCATAGCTCCTTGGGCCCGGGCCTGCGCCTTTCTATTTCCTTTGGGTGCTGGGCATGGCAGTAGGAATGATAAGTCACAGGGGTGACATTCACCACTCGTGAAGGCTGTGTCTTCTCTTGCAGAGAAAGCCCACTCGTGTGACCAGGAGAGACAGAGTGCCCTGGAAGAGGCCCGGCAGAATCCCCGAGAGGGCATCGTCATCCCCGAGTGTGCCCCCGGGGGGCTCTACAAGCCAGTGCAGTGCCACCAGTCCACTGGCTACTGCTGGTGTGTGCTGGTGGACACGGGGCGCCCACTGCCCGGGACCTCCACTCGGTAAGCCCACCCGGAGCCTGCCCTGCACCCCAGGCTGGGTCCTGGGACAAGAGGACCAGCTCCCTGCTGTGCTTGCCTCTCCCAGCATTACTGTCCTGCTTTGGTGGGAGTCAGGTCACTAGGAGAGCAACTTCCCCATTTATGAGCAGAGGAGTTTCTTGTAGCAAGATACTGAGACCTGGATTCTGGTCACAGATCTGTCTCTTTCTAGCTGTAGACCTTGGAAAAGTACTTATTCCCTTTGAACCTCAGTTTCCTGATCAGAAGGTTATTATTTCCTTGCCTGAGTCACTGGATCAAAAAAGACCTATGCGCAGCTGTGAAGTGACACCGTTATTATGCTTGGTTGGTTAAAATGACATGCCCTAACATGTCTCAATGGGAACATTTATGCCGAGATGGCCGTGTAGCTGCTGGACAGTGAAGGGGATATATTGCTGCCAACCCTGGGCACTTTAGGCTTAGTGACAACACAGATCATTTGTGGGCAGTAGTGACCGGGGCAGGCTCAGCTGCTAACTCCTCCCAACCTCCCCCACATCTCTCTTCCCAGCTACGTGATGCCCAGTTGTGAGAGCGACGCCAGGGCCAAGAGTACAGAGGCCGATGACCCCTTCAAGGACAGGGAGCTACCAGGTGGGAGATGCTGCTGCCCCTGAGGGCGCCTTCACCTCCTTCTGTTCCTGCACCCCTCATCCTGCACAAGCAGCTCCCTCCTCCGGTCTGTGCGAGGGAGCAGGGATTGCCGGGTAGGGACATCACAGGAGCCTGAAGCCAGGAGCCGTGGACCTGCATCCTAGGCTGGGATCTGTCCCTGATTAGTCCTGTGCCCTTGCGTGCCTTGCTTCTCTTCCTTGTGCTTGCCTCTTCATCTTTAAAATGCAGTCGTTGGGTTAAAATCTTGTCCCTGCAATTCTACAATTTGTTCTCCATTTGAGGGTGCCTGGGACGTTTTGGGGACTGTGAATTGTTTTTTCCAGGGCTGTGAAGAGAAGATAGCTTACTGGGAGGGGCTGTCCCGTCACAAGAATGCAGTCGTGGAGGTCAGGGTGCTGCCTTTTTAGCCATCCCCTCCACAAATGTGAATTGAGATTCTACCACGTGCCGTCTGGTGATCAAAACTGACGCGAGGCTTATGGAGTGGAGGAGACAGATTGCATGCAAAGCAATGAACGTGCACCTTTATAAACTGTCATGGCAGGCACTCTGAAAGAGGAGCCCAAGGTGCCGCAAGAATGGCTGGGAGAACCTGCTTTAGATGCCACAGGTTCTCTGAGAAGGAAGTGTTGACCCCAAGGCCTGGCGGCTTTGGAGATAGGAGAGAATGAGCCAGTTGCTGTGGGCTGTGGTCGTGTGTAGGGCCCACTGGGGGCTGGGGATCATGAACTTATAGGGACACCCATCTATGGGGTTGAGTGGGGGTATGTTCCCCAGCAACACTCAGCTATGCGGGTGTAGACATGGAAAGGCGTATCTACGAGAAGGTTCATCTGTCTTTCACTGTGATTTACTGGAATAGTGCAAGGAGGAGAAGGGGAGCAAAGGGTTTAGGAATATTTGCAAGAGATTCTATAGTTATCATCTAAGCTGGATGAGGAGGGCCATGGAAAGAGGAGGAGGTTCTTGGGTAGATGCAGCGGTGGGTCTACTGAAGTCCACTTTGGCCGTCAGGGGTTCTCTCTCTCCCTTGTGCTCTCACAGCACCTGGTTCTTACCCTGGAGTAGCGATTTCCCCACTTTAGGATGCCTGCCTGGCATTAGCTTGAGTATGTTGTGATCTTCATGAGGATAAGAACCCTGCATACTGTTCACAGTTGTCTCCCTGGCGGCTCACGTAGAGCCTGCGTTGGTGCTCAGCTGGCATTTGTGGGATGGAAGGAAACTGAAAGCGTCATTACCCATTTGTTCTGATGGGCCCGTGTTGGGAACGATGGAGGTTCATGAGAATCCTCTGAGCAGTGGACAAACCCCAAAGTGGATTTGGCTGGATAAGGACTTTGAGAAGTTTGGAAAGGATAGTAGTTGAGGAAGCTGTTTACTTGATTACTTACCTGGCCTCTGCCTTCTAATCTCACTTGATCTTTCAGGCTGTCCGGAAGGGAAGAAAATGGAATTTATCACCAGCCTGCTGGACGCGCTCACCACCGACATGGTTCAGGCCATTAACTCGGCAGCGCCCACTGGAGGTGGGAGGTGAGAATGTGAGCAGGCCCTGCAGGGAAGGGGCCCTGAGGTTCCAGATGCTGAGGGCGGCTGGGGGAAGCAGGGCCGGGTGGGGGAGGCAAGGGCTGGAAGGCTGTCTCTGCCAAAAATCTTCCTGTCTCTCTATTCTTTGGGAGCTGTTTGTCCCTAGCTTCTAGTTACCTGGTTCACAAGCAAGGGCGGGGATGTCTGGAGACCTCCAGCTGTTTCATCCAGGAAGGGGATGGTTGAGTGGGAGTCCTGAATGGCAGGAAGGGTGATGGGCACAGCGTGGGGACTGGGAGGACAGGGGGGCAGGGAGGGGGCACAGAGCACATTATGATTTTCTTCTGTCCTGAGAATCCCGAGGAGCTCTGGGCATGGGGATTGGACACTCCCGTAGCCAAATCCAGCTGGGCTCGGGAGTTGATGTGGTAGCCCAGGCAGTCCTCACATGAGGGGCCCCAGGAACCAGCGTCACTGGTGCTCACTGGTTTGGACCCACTAGATCTGCTGGAGTGTGCACACATGCATCCACCCATCCCCTTAGCCCCCTTTGGGCTTGCACGACACGCCAAGCAATGGGGTAAGGACTAGGGATATAAGGCAGGTCTACCTTCAAAGAACGCAGCCTCGTGGGGATACCAGATCATATAGACAGATACATACAAACTATAAGGTAAGCGCCAGGACAGAGGTGGAAGAACAGAGGAGGCAGCTTGTCCAACTCAGTCAGGAGGCGTCAGAGGAGGCTTCCTGGCAGAGGTGATAGCTGAGCTGGGTTTTGAAGGGTAAGTAGGGCTTAGCCAGTCAGAGCAGGGAGAAAGGCATTCTAGGAGAAGGAAGGAATATTGTGACTCCAAGAAAGTGCATGTCTATGGCTCATTTGGCTGGGCTGGGGTGGACAGGGGAGGAGGGGGAAGAGGAGGAGGAGAGAGTGGTAATGATGAGGTGGAAGAGACGGGCAGGAACTGATCCCAAAGAGTCTGTGAGGCAGGCTAAGTGAGACTTCCAGTTATGAAGCTGGACGGGGAGGCGCCGCAGGGGCTGGGGGAGCTGGGAGCAGGGGCTGTTTAGGCTCCTTACAGCCGCAGAGGAGGCACCGTGTGCTCGGCAGGGACGACAGCCTGCCTCAGTGCTGGCGTGGCTCGCCAAGGAGGGGGAGCCAGCGCCCTAGCACCGGCCTAGGTGCAGAGCTTCCTCCAAGCAAGGCCACCTTGGTGGCGTCAGGGGGACCACAGGGCATGTGTTTAGGGTGGGGTCTAGGACTCTAAGCATAGCTGTCAATGGTTCTGCATCTTGAGGCAGACAAAGGCAGCTGTCCTGAAACTCCAATTTTATATCATATCAGAGTGAGCACACACAATAGCCAAGAAGTGGACACAGCCCAAATGCCCATCAGTGAATGAACAGATAAAGAAAATGTGGCATATGTATACAGTGGAATAATATTTGATCTTTAAAGGGAAGGGAATCCTGTCATAGTGAGGACATTATGCTAAGTGAAAGAAGCTAGTGCAGGACAAATGCTGCATGATTCCACTTATGTGAGGTGCCTGTAATGGTCAGACTTACAGAATCAGAGTAGAATGGTGGTTCCTGGGGCTGTGGGGAGAGGGATCCGGGGACTTGCTAATCAAGCCAGCCGATCCGCTGTGCAACCTTGTCCGTATAGTTAATGGTACTATACTACACACCTAAAAATTTGTTAGCAGGGTAGAGCTCATGTTTAGTGTTCTTACCACAATAAAATAAAATTTGTAAAAAGCAAGAAAAAAAAGAAAGAAAAAAGAAAAAAAAGTGAGTGCCACGGTTGCCACTCTCGGGCATGGTCCTGCAAGCTGGGAGGCTGGTTTCTGGCTGTGGCTCCGTTTTCGCTTCTCTGTGCGTGGGGCCCGGCCCCTCCAGAGGAGCACAGTGCGAAGTCTGCGAAGGGTGGAGGCAGGCGCTGACAGGCTGCAGAGGGAGCTGCTGCAGGCGGCTCGGTGCCTAGGACAGAGAGGCTGCATCAGAGTCTCCGAGGAGAAAGGAGGGGTCATTTTTGAAAAGGCACATTCAGTACTATATGCCTTTAGGTTATTTGTGTTTAGAATATGAAGAAATATCTATTGTTTCATGCAGAAAGAGGCATGAGGCATTTATGTTTATTAAAAGAGAGGGAAAAAGAAAAGAAGGGAGGACCACGCTGAAAAATCCCAGGTGTGGGGGCTTCCCACCCACAGTGCCCTGAAGGCCACTGGCTCTGCCACCAGCCCAGGCATCCCCCTGCAGTCCTGCCTAGTCCTAAGGAGGCTTCATGCTCCTCCCTGGTTGCTTTCGTGGTAGCTTGAGCACCACACACACACACAGACACACACAGACACACACAGACACACACACACACACACACACACACACGGTCTCGGCTGCAGGCAGGGGGAGCACAGTGGGCTCTGCTGCTGGGGAAGTTAGGATGGTGCCTTATCTTCAAATCACAAGCTAGAGGGATTTTTATAGATAATAAAAGCTAGGAAATTTACAATGTTTTTAATATCAGTGTGTCCTCAGGGAAGGGGCTCTTTTTTTTTGAACCTTCTATTTTAGGTGTAATTTAGAGTTGAGAGAAGTTTTTAAAAAATATTCTTTCCAAAACATGTTTACCGTTTTAAGCTTATATCAGTTTGACCATACTTGATTTTGAAGGGAATGAAAGGTTTGAGTGGCTTTTGGTGGTTACATTACCTAGAGGCTGGACTTTTAGTCAAGAGACAGACAAGGTGATCCAAGAAATAGTTTAGGAATCAAGGAAGGGGTTGGGGGAAGGGAGAAGAAAGAGAGAGAGAGAAACAGGGAGAGAGCTGGCCAGGGGCACCAGTTTTGCTTGGTTGAAAGCCCTCTCAGCTCTCCCCATGATATTGGCATAAGCCCCAGCTCCTACCAGGGCTGGCCCCTCACCTTCTCGCTCATTCCTTCCTTCCCACCCTTATGCTCCAAGCACTGGTCCTCCTCGGTTCCAGGTCCTCAAACAGGTCAAGCTCTTGCCTGTCCCAGGACCTCCGTGCCAGTCGCTCCTTCAGTCTAGAGTTTGATTCCCCATCTATCTTCCCATGACTGGCCCTGCTTGTTCATTTAAATGTTGCCTTCTCACCATTCTAGAGGAGCTGCCTGTTCACACTCTGCCTCAGCAGCCCTTTTGGACTCCACTATCTGATATTTTGCTGGCTTGTTTATGTATTGTCTGTCTCCCCCCAACCAGTGAGAGTTTAGGAGAAGAAGCACTTCTGTCTTCTTCTCTGCTGCATTTCTAGAACTTAGAATAATGCCTGGCACATAGTAGGTGCTCAGTAATGTGTTAAATGAATAAACAACTAGAAGGCTGGATGGACAGATGGGTGGATCCCTGTCTGATATAGAGAGGAATATCTCGATGAGGCATCTTCCTGGCATGCATCAGAGGCTCTACTCATTCTGCCCTTTACTGCAAGACTAAGTAGCAGGCAGATCCAGCCACCAAGTTTAGTGCTTCTTTGTAACCAGGGCCCTGTGGTACCCTGGCTGGGCCCCCGGGAACTTGGGGTGCTATGTGTGTACAGACCCTGGCTAGTCACTGCTCTCATATGAAGGAAGAGCAGAGGCACAGGGCAGCGGGAGATTGGGTAGCATGTCTGAAACAGGGCTGATGAAGAGAATTAGGAAATCCAGGCTTCCTGGGTTTTGGCCTTGGCTTTGGAATTCAGGCAGAGTTGGGGTTGCAAGCATGAGGTTAAGAGAGCCACATCCGATCCCTCCGGTATGCTCTCAGGGTCTGGCAATTAAAGCCGGACATCAGCTGATGCCAGTGGGAAACAGTTCCACTTGGGGACAGTGGGGGGAAAAAGGGACAGGGAAGATGTTTGGGCAGTGCAAAAAAGGAAGATGTCTCCCTGCCACTCCACCACCTGCCTAGTATGGATATTTTGGGTGTGTACCAACTCTCATGTCTCACCCCCTGCCTTCCAGTATAAGCTCCATGCTGGGTTCTGGGGACACCTGGGGAAAAGGGCACAGTCCCTGGCCCGGAGGAGCGATATAGAACCATGTGACCACACTGCCAAGTCAGCGTGATAGTAGAGGCTGATAAAGTGCTGCAGGGACTCAGGGGAGGCAGGCTGGGTGAGGGCAGGCTTTGCATAGGGGGTGACACTCATCCTACAAATGGGAAAATGTCCCAACCTGGATGGACCAGGGGTAAGCGCATCTAGCAGAGGGGCCCACGCGGGTAGTGAGGTGTGGACAGGGTAGGGTGTGTGGAGGGACTTGCAGGAAGTAGTGTGGGTTAGGGTGGGGAGGCAGGCTGGGGGCAGGCAGGCAGATGAGGCTGCAGAGCCGGGCAGAGCCTGGGTGGTGCTGGGCCTCCTGAGTCCTGCCAGGTGTGCACTTCTGAAGAGTCATCTGATGGCGCTACAGAAGCGGGATTGGAGGGAGCAAGGTGGAGCAGGGAGGTTACAGCAATTGTCAGCGTGACGGGTGATGAGAGTGTGGGCTGTGGGGAAGGGGTGCTTTGCCGAAGCTTCTGTAATGAAATCAAAGGGATTTCAAGACTTGTTAGCTATAGGGAGTAGAAGAGAGGGAGTCATCTACTCTGTTTTTTGGCCTTCTAGCCTGATTTGGTGGCGAAAAGCAGTGCCGTCTGTATCTAAAAACAGGCGAAGTAGAATGGGTGTCCATGGAAGATCTACGGCAGATGCACGGGAGGGGGCGCCCTGCCAGTGTCATTGGGTGGGAGCCATTCTCAATGCACGTTTGTTGGCTGAGTGAGTTATCCCCTTGGTCCCTCCTGCCAGGGCTCCAAGGAACAGTGCTCCCCTTAGATCAGCCCTCCCATGGCATCCATGAGCATTTGTCACTCCCAAAGGAAGATTTCTGAGATCCCAGCTGGCAGAGTCTTCCAGAGCGGGGAAACTCTCTCCTGGCTCCACCCTGCCCTATGGAAAGTCAACTTTGCGGGGAGGTGGGACGGGCTGGGTGAGTCTCTTGGCCCTTCCCCTAGTCCCCCAAAGAAAGACCATCTGTGCTGTGGCTTCACCCTTCCTGCCCAGTGCGGTCGCCCATTGATGGCTTTGCAAGGAAGAGGCTGGAGTGTGGCTGAGTTGGTATTTCCCAGCCCCACTCGCACAGCTGGCGGGGCCTGGACCGAGCTCCAGATGGGGCTCAGTTGGTCTGCTTGGCTTGGCTGGTGCCTCCAGGCCGTCCCGCTTTACCTTCTCTAAAACTGCTGAGGACAGCAGAACCGGGCCCCAGATCTTGGCCGGAGCTGGTTTCCCTGTGGTAAACGGGGCTGGCTCTCCAGCTGGGCGTTGCAGCCAAGGCCTGGCAGGGCTGAGGCTGCAGAAGCAAAACTGAAAGTGCTGCAGGAGGAGGGTGGCCCGTGCCACCTCTAAAATTGGGAGAAGGCTTAGTGGGGCCAGTTCAGGGAGGGACCTGGCTCTAGTGGGTTTCCTCATCCCTGGAGGCGAGAGGCAATAGGACAGCCACTAAGACAGCCCAGAGGCAGGGCAGACACCAGTGTTGCACAGAACCACGGTCTTCCGAAACCTGCAATTTGCTACCACTTGGGTGTGTCTTTCCACACCATGTCCAAGGAAACTTGGATATTCTAGCTTTTAGCAGAAGTAGAACTTCAGCCGTGGAGAAGTCCCATAGTGTGGGCCAGCCAGTGCTAGTGCAGTGATCTAAGAGCCCTGGCTCCCTCTAGTTTAGGGTCCCCAGCTCTTGCCTGGTGAGCAGCGTTGAATCTGGCAGTCCCGACATCTCCCGTGGGATAAATGTGTGCATGTGCGGGACAGACTGGAAGCTGGAGAAGAAGGTGCAAGAGGTAGAGGGACCAGTGAGTGTTGCTTTGTGGTCAGGGTGTAAACGGTAAGAAATTACGATGAAAAGGAATCTAGAAGACTGCTTGAGAGAGTCCCTGAAACTCGGGGGGAGCTTTTCTGCCCCACGTCCACCCAGCACTGCCCCAGGAAAGATGTCAGCAGAGGCCTCTGGTGTCTTCTTCTACACACGTCCTGCAGGGTTGGCTGCGCCAGGACTTTTGCTGGGTCTCAGCCTCCACCAGAGCTGGTGCGAAGCTTGGGGAGTGCCCTGTTGCAAGCCAGAAACTCGACCTACAGAGTTTTAAATCAGATGTCTTCAGTAGTTTTCTCGTTTCTATTTTGTTTTGTTGGAAATATGGAAACCACCCCATGCCCCTCCCATCCACTGTCTTTGTCTCACTCCTTCATTTAGAAGTATGATGCTTAAATATTCTTCTGGGGCTATGGCTAGAGTCTTCTGGAACAATGGTTCTTCACCTGAGTCCCTAGACTTTGAATGGGCTTTAGGAAGTCCATTAGTCCCCTAACATCTGCAGCCTTCTGTGTCTATGTGTATTTTTCTAGAGAGAGGGCCTGTCGCTTTGTTTAGGTTCTTAGACGGGTCCTCGGGGAAGCATGGCTTACTCAGGTGGATTAGGTCCAGCCAATTTGTCTCGAGCATACGTCTTATACAAAACTAAGAAGTTCTTGCTATAAATACACTTGCAGTTTGGCCTGGCCAAGGTGTTGAGTTCCAAAGTGTGACCATAGTGCTCCCCAGCTTCACAGGTAGAGCTGGGCTGTATTACCTGGGGCATGGTGGTGTCGAGTATTCTGGAGGTCAAGGGAGTTGAGAAGCAGAGTCTCAAGTTAGCTAGGAAGGAGGGAGGATGGGGACAGGACCCTCCAGCCCACAGAGCAGGCTGTGGGTTGTGGCAGTGTTACAGGGAGCCCAGAGCCACAGCGTGGAGGGGCTCGGAGGACCCCTCCCAAGGAAGCGAGCTCTGCGCATCTCAGCCCGGAGCTCACCTGGGAGCTGGGCACAGGCGTGGGTGGTAGAGGGGAGAGGGGAGCCCAGCAGTTGGAAATCATGGGTGCTCTTCGCTGTGAGTTCCTCATGGGAGCAAGGCGAGCAGGAACAGGGTTCTGCAGGACGGGACAGTCAGAATAGAGAGAGGGACGGGGACGGAGCCAGATGATGATCACTCTCTGGCATGGAAGGAAACGCAGCGGTTGTAAAGTTGGGAAGAAGAACTGCTTCTTGCTGCAAAACAGCCCAAAGGGAGGTGGGGGAGCTCTATCAATGGAGCTGCTGAAAGCTGGACAGGCGGGAGCCCCAGGAACACGTGTTGGAGGGAGCGAGCCTCCCCTGGCAGCGCCTCTGGGTGGGATGACCTCATCCCTTCCCGTCTCTGCGACTGAGGCTTTATTATTCCAGCCTCTAGGTAGACATTACGCTATGCGGAGCCTAAAGGTTAAAGGAAGAGCTGGAAAGCCCTGGGGCTGCCATGGCTCCCTGGCCAGAGGGGCTGGCTGAGAGGGAAGTTCCCTGTCGGCCTCCCCCAAGCCTGGGTCTGAGCCTCTGGTGGGAGAGCAGAGTGCCTTCCTCGGTTCCCCATCTCTGAGTCCTCCCCGGTGTTTGGGGAAAGGCAGGGGCAGCCAGGGCGCTCCCCGCCCTGTACCTTGTGCATGCCGAGGAGAATTTTCTGCTTGCCCACTCGGTGTGCGCCGCAGGAGCGGTCTAGAGAGCCTTGAGACCGCGTGTCACTGGTGCAGAGAGGGCGACTGAAGCCACCAAAGCACTGAGTATGCTGGCAACGGCAAAGTCTGAGCTCCACAGTGAATACCTTCGCGCCGTTTCAAAGACCTCCTGAGCTTGGTTTCCATGACAGACTAAGCAGATTTCCAAAGAATTAGAGGCAGTTGGCAGCTCTGCACGGCTCCCTCACACCTTCCGCCAGGTACTGCCTGAGTCAAACCAGTCAGGATGAGGCCCACTGGCACATCCGCTAATTGCGCCCCCTGGAATCAGTCCAGGATGCCCAGGGGCACTGCCCCAGACAGAAATCCACCTAATTAGGAGTGGGCACACAACAGGGATGACTGGCTTTCTTTTTTATTTTTCTGTAAGGAAACTTCTTTTTCCCTGAACTTTGAGGTCATGTGGGGAGTGGGAAGTGGAGGGAGTTTGCTGGCTTGTTCATAGGGGAGAGGTCAGAGACGGTCCCTTCCTTCTGGAAAACCTGACAGACCCCAGAGAAGAGAGGGTGGCATCGGTGAGCGCCTTGAATGTTTTTCTTACCAGGTATAGCTTCAGAATGTGCCGAAGGCCCTGGAACCCTGGGATTTGAATGTGTGGGACTCCTAACCTCAACCTTATTCTCCTTCCCAAGGGGAGGTTGCCCAGGAATTTGAGCACAAGGCCCTAGACCACGTTTGCTCTGTGCCAAGCCCTGGGAACCCCAAGGCTCTGTCCCTCTGCTCAGAGATCCCATTCAGTCCCTCTGAATAATAGACCCATCACTGGGTCTATTTAGGATTGTAAGGATTGTAAATATTAGTTATCGCCCTGATTCCTTTTTGGGAAAAGATAGGCCACAAATAAGTAAATAAAATGGATGGGCAGGACATTACATATAGTTGCACATGTAGACGTTGGTCTGGTAGCTTTATGGTCACTGCAGTGTGTGGGCTGTGTTGGACGTGGTCGTGGCTTGGTTACTCTAGTCCGCTGTTTCTCAGCAGAACCACCTGGGGGTGTTGGGTCACATGTGGTGTTTTCTGGGCCCACCCCAGACCTCCTGACTGAAAACCTCAGGCCAGGAAGACTCATGCCTGGCAGGTCTGGGAGTTGCCAGGTTTAGAACTTCTGTCTGCGTCTGTCCCAGTCAGCCTCTTCTCTTAACTCCTACTACATTTGGCAGCCGGCAGTGAGAGAGCACAAACTGCCGGCCCTCACAGCTGAGGCTCTGTCTCACAGAGACGGCGTGCAGCCTGAGGCCAGGGGTGCACCTCCCAGGGCCCCCTTCCCAGGCCGTGTCCACCCGAGAGTGCATGTGCTTATGGGAAGAGCAACTCAAGCACAGTGAGCCCTAGGCCAGGGGAAGGACAATTTGGATTCCAGGTGTGGTTTATTCGGTATGAATTAGATCAAGCCAGTTTGTCTCAAGCCCCCATCCTGTGCAAGAACATTTCTGGCTGTGGTAGAGGGTGAAACATGCTCATGTAATAAGATCACCCATTTGGGGAGCCCCGAGAAAAGGATTGTCCAATCTTGAGATCCAAGTTGGAGAGGATGGCATGATGCTACAGCAGGCTGAGCCTGCCCGGGTAGACCTTGGCTTGGGGGAGCTGTTCTACCTGGCTGCCGGCAGCCCAGCATGAGTGCCCTGGCATCTGACACCTGGAGAGATTGGCGGTGGGGAGGGATCTCAAGCAGGGCACGGGAGGGAGTTTTACGGACTGATTGCTCCTGCAAGATCCTGAGCAGTGTCGTGTGGGGTGGGGGCGTCTGTCCATGGCCCAGGTTCTCAGAGCCAGACCCCAGCCACACCCTGGAGGAGCGCGTGGTGCACTGGTACTTCAGCCAGCTGGACAGCAACAGCAGTAATGACATTAACAAGCGGGAGATGAAGCCCTTCAAGCGCTACGTGAAGAAGAAAGCCAAGCCCAAGAAATGCGCCCGGCGTTTCACCGACTACTGTGACCTGAACAAAGACAAGGTCATTTCACTGCCCGAGCTGAAGGGCTGCCTGGGTGTTAGCAAAGAAGGTGAGTGCCGTCCCCTGTACTCCGGGCCTTTCGTTACTTGCCCCACCCAAGCACAGGGGCCAAGGGCTCTCCTAGTGAATCAGATCCCAGGTGCTCATTTATGTAACCACTGTTTACTGGGACTGTCCTGGGCTTCATGCTGGATGCCTGCTACAGTGGTGGCACTGACTGATAAGGTCCCTATCCTTGTACAGGAAACAGACAGTAAATAAGCATTCACATACATGGTGATAAGTGCTGTGAGAGTTTTGGTTAGGGCAGGCCAGGCTACAGTAACAAGTGGACCCATATGTCACGGCTCAACATAGTAGACATTTTTTGTCTTGCCCAAGCAATAGTGCAGCATGGTTCCAGGTTGTGCAGTGTGTGTGTGTGTGTGTGTTTGTGTGTGTGTGTGTAAGGGAAGGCAAAGGAGTGAGGGCTGCTCCATGTAGTCGCTCTGGGATCCAGGCTAAAGGTGACTCTGCCATTTTCATCATGTGGCTATCAGGGTTACCCTGGGGGGCATCTCCATTGCTAGTCAGCAGATGGAGCACACATGAAGCAGTGCAGTGAGGGAGTTTTATGGGCCAGTCCTGGAAATGACACACATTGTTTCTCATATGTCACTGGCTGAACCTAGGTCACTTGACCACACCCAGCAGCAGGGAGGCTGGGAACCCAGGAAGCAGAAGGGAGCATGGCTTTGGGGGAGCACTTAATAATCTCTGTCGCAGTAGGACAAGCACAGCATAGGTAGGAACATATGTAGGGACACCTAAGTCACTAAGGGGCAGATAGCCTCGGAAACCTGTGTGAAGGGAGCGATGCCTAAACCAGGGCTCAGCAAACTGTGGCCTGCGTGCCCAATCTAGTCTGTGGCATGTCTCTGCATGACCTATGGGCTAATAATGGTTTCTCCATTTTTAAAGGGCTGTCATTTTTTTTTTTAAAGAAGAATATATGACAGGGACTGTACATGGCCCAAAAAGCCTAAAATATTTCCTATCTAGTCTTTTACAAATACATTTGCCAACACGTGTTCTAAACCAATACCCGAGGCATGAGTAGGAGATAGCCAAGCAGAGAGGCCGGTGGAGGGGAGAGTGTTCTGAGCTGAGGCAGAGGAGGGTTGAAGCTCTGGAGGTGCAAACAGCGTTTTCAAGGAACTGAAGGATGTCTGTTGTGTGATGCATGCATATTTTAAGGTGGCATGAGGTGGCAGGTGACAAGAAACAAGGTGAGGTTGGAGATATTTTTAGTCCAGGTGAAAGAGTTTACATGTTATAAGGGCAGCAGAAAGCTGTTGATGGGGTTCAATCAGAGAAATGATGAGATCAGTTTTGCTTAAAGGGTTAATCTGGCTGCAGGGTGGGAAATGGATCGGAGATGAGCGAGGCAGAGTCACCCACTAGGAGGCACGGTGTCACCCAAGCAAGAGGTGGTGGAGGGCGAGTGATGAAAAGCACAGTGGGTGGGAGGATGAAGAGAAGTGGGTGGTTGAGTGGGTTTAGGAGCAGGTTGGTGTGGGCAGCTGGAGGGAAGAGAGGGCTGGGTGTAGGGGGATGGGGAAGACTAGTATAGTTTGGACATGATGAGTGGATGCACCTGAAGGGCGAGTAGGTCTGTAGAGCAGGGGAAGGGCTGAAGATGCTGATTTGGGTGATGCTGACTTTTGAGCACCATGTCAATGCTCAGTAAGTTTTGGATTTTGGAGCATTTCGGATTTCAGATTTGTGATGATCAACCTGTACCGGTTACTCAAGCATTCTGTTTCAGTTTCTTCATCTGTAAAGTAGCGTCTACTCACAGGGCTATTGTGCTGATTAGATGGGACAGTGAGGGAAAGCATTTATCAACCTGAGACGTTGAGAAAACTCAGCAGAGGTTTAGTATGGCTCTTTTTCTTCATGAGATTCTTGCTTCTCTCAACAGCACTTATCACGCTGTATTGCAATTTACTTTTCTGATTCCTCCTTGAAGCCATGGACTCTGTCTTCTCAATTCCTAACCTCTAGCACAGTACATGGCAGCAGTTCCTTAAGTCCTTGTCAAATGAACGAATGAGTGAAGGAATGAGTGGATGAGGAGGTGCCCTTTGTGGTGACATCGTGGTCTGACACACTTGGAATCCATGCTCATTTCGCAGAGTGCAGGCAGATGGCCAGCACTGGAAAGAGACTGTGCAGTGTTAGTGTCAGCCCCCAGGCCTCCCAGGCTGAGTGGGGATGGTCTGTACTGACGCTGCCCTCAGTCCCCTTCCCATGCTGGTAGTTCCGGTCTGCACACCACACCGAAGCTGGGGGAAGGCTGAGTGTGGTGACCTCCTGCCCAGGGAGCCCAGGGAGCTCTCCTAGCCTTCCTCTGAAGCCTTTCCTGGCGCCAGGTGTCTGCCAATCCCTGCCAACATGGAGGACCTGAGGGAAGCATCGGAGAAAACTGTGAATTGTGATGCAGTATTTAGGGAGCACTGGTCAGCTGGATGTTCCTCCTCTACCCACGCTCAGCTAGGAACAGGTCCTAGCTTAATTGTCTTCACAGCTTTTCCCACAGAAGCTTCCAGAGTGCTTTGGAGTGCAACTGTCATGGTTCTTGGCTCAACACACTCTCCAAACCCTCCCAGCCCAAAAGTGGGACTAAGGAGACCAGAGAGCTTCAGGACCACTCTTGACCCCTGAACACCTGCCCGGCTGGAAGTCTGGCAGGAGTGCTGTGTCCGTGCATGTGTCTGGGTGTCTGTGGCATGCCTCTGCATGTGTCTGTGTATGCATATCTGTGTGTGTCTCTGTAAGCATGCCTGAGTGTGCACGTGTGCATACCTATACATATGTGTGCATGCATTGTGCCTATGTCTGTGTACATGTTTCTGTATATGCACATCTGTGTGTGTCTCAGCATGTCTGAGTGTGCACCTGTCTGTGTGCATGTTTGTGTGTGTGCATGCATGGTCCGTGCATGTGCACAGTGTGCATATCTTTCCATGTCTTTAAGCATGCCTGTGTACATGTGCACATCTGCACATATGTGTGCATGTGTCTGTGCGTGTGTGTAGATGTGTGCATGATGGAGAGAGGAGAGTCAAGTGTGGAGAAAGGAGGAAGAGGGCATGTAGGATTGACCGACAGGCTAAGGTGAGGGAGTCTATGTAGACTTAAGGCCTGCGGGGCAATGCAGCAGGATCCTTCTCTCTCCAGTCTCCGTGTCCACACGCCCCGCGGATGCACTGCCCCAGACCCGTGCTGCCTTGCAGCCGGAGGGCTCCTCAGGCCCTCAGTCCGTTTTGCAGTTGAGGAGTCTAGACTGGCCTGGAGAGGAGCAGAGTTTGCTCAAGGTTACACTTGAGGCAGCACCGTTGCTGACACTTGGCTCAGCCTTGGGTTTCCTAAGCCAGGCTGCTGTCCTCTCCATGAGGGTTTGAAGGTGTCACCTTGTGTGAGCAGGCCAGTCTTGCTTGCCTAGGAAGCCAAGGGGGTGGCCAGTGGGGCGTCCAGGGAAGTGGGGGAGCAGACCCAGCCTGGGCGGTGAGAGCAGGGAGAGAGGCTGCTGGGGGCAGAGCGCCGCCAGCATCCCGAGCGGGGAAGCCCAGTGTCCAGGCAGGCGGCACCTGCAGCAGCACAGACCGCCACTGAGAGGCCCAGGAGTGGCGAGGGGAACCATGATCTAGGTGCAGTTACGGCTGGAGGTGACAGCGGGGCCCCGGAAGTCAGACGGCCCTGCCTTTTAATCCCAGCTCTGCCATCTTTGGCAAGTGACCTAAACTCTCTCAGCCTCAGTTTCCTCGTTTGCAAAATGGGGATGATAGTGTGTACCTCATAGATTTGGTGTGAGATAACACATGTGATAGCACATGTGAAGAACCTAGCACGGTCCCTGGTAAGTAGTGAAGGCGCAGGAGATTAGAAGCAGTGGTGGGACACAGCCGGGGCTGGAGGCGTCACTGGCAGCCTGCTCTGTCCCTCTGCTCTGGGGGAGGCAGAAAAGCCACCTGGGCGGATGCTGTGTAGCTGCCCTGGGGAACGGAGCCAACATTGGTCATCCGGTAGCATGTGGTGCCCCCTGGTGGGCCGAGAGGGGCTTGCACACTCGGTGGGGGCAGAAGTGGGGTCAGGGGAGGATTTGGAGCTTTGGGATGAGTATAGGTTTGAGACTGAGGGATTGAATTTTTGGAAATGTCACACGAACACAGATATTTTTTAACCAGACTCCTCACTGGGGGAGCTGGATTCTCTGCACGACATGAAAAGACCAGACGTTCTGAGAGCTGGGGCCTCTTCCGTAACTGGCCTTTCACACTTTATAAAGCACCTTCATCAGGGTTATTGTCACCATCCTCTGAGGCAGGCAGGGTGGGGACTGCTGCCTCCGGTTTTCAGAAATGCCAGCTCTTCCTTTAAATCGTCTGAGGATGCCACCTGTCCTGGGGTCAGGCTGCTTCTGTCCCCTGGGCTCCCTGGTGGTCTGGAGCGTGGTCCTGCAGGCAGAGAGCCAGGTCTGGATTCGCTTCACCCGTGAAAGCTGTGCCTCCCTGGGTAGGTTATTTGACATCACCAAGCCTCAGTCTCATCATCGTAAAGTAGGGATAATTTTGTCACTATCCTATAAAGTCGCTCTGAGGATTAAGTGACAGGACTTAGGTAAAGGACAGGCACAGGAAACCTCCACAAAAGAAAGCTGGTTGCTGCTGGCTGTACGTGTGGCTCCAGTCTCAGCTTGGTGGCAGGACTGCTGTAGATCTAGATCCTTCTAGAGAGAAGAGATCCTTTTAGAGAGAAGCACAGAGAGAAGCAGCTACCTGGGGAGCAGAGGAAAGGTGAGATTTGGAGCTGGCAGCCTGGCTCTGCTACTTCCCACCTGCCTGCCTTGGGCCTGTGACTCTCTGAGTTTGTGTCCTCATCTGTAAGATTGCATGTACCAACATCCACCCTGTGTCCAGTCCACCTTGTGTGCAGTCTTTGCTTCTTGGGTCTTAAGGAATGTTAGCATGACAAGGGGTCACATGACCGACAGGTGGGCTTGGGTTCCAGCACTGTACGCTCTGCAAAGCCCGTCTGCTCCTCCGTGGGGCAGTGGGTCCGCAGGCAATTCTGTGAAGGAGGCAGAGCGGGAGCAGCAAGGCTGTGGTCCCCACACCCAGCCTACAGACAGACCCAGAGCTTTCAGTTGTGTGTGCTGTCGTGTGGCCCTAAGGGGCCCAGCTCTTGCGCTTGCCCCCACCTCCCTGCCCATCCTTCAGGAGATCTGGTCCTTGCAAGAGCAGGCATGGCCAGTCTCAGAGCTGCTCGGCACCTTGCGGGCAGGAGTGGACCTTGTGTAAGTCATTCATCTGCCTTGAGTCTCTGCTCCCAGATTTCTCAAGTGAAGGTGCTGGACTCAGTGGTGGCTAAGAGTCCTTCCACCTCTGACATTCTGTAATTTGGAAAACCAAGACCCAAGAAGGCTCTGCAAGTGTCCATCAGCACAAAAGCCCTTCTCGGCAAACAGCTAAGGGGACCTCAAAGAGGTACCCAGCAGGGGCTTACCCTTTTGGGAAAGGGATTCTGTTTAAAGGTGTTGGCCAGTAAAGGGCTCACCTGGGCAGAACACAGCCACAGACACCCACAGAACAGGAAGCACGGCCACACAACTTCTGACTCTTGCCCAATCCACTCTTCATTCTGGGATCAGAGGGGACAGGAACCCAGGTATAGGAGCAGCTCTGCCAGTTCTCTGGGTGAAGGCCAACTGAGCGGTACACGTTCCTGTTAGTTGCAGGCAGTAGCCTTGGCAGCTTCCCCCAGGGAAATTGAGTGGGCACAAACCCACTCAGTACGCTGCCTTGTTTCTGAGCTCCCCTGTTGCCTCCATGGACCCCCAAGAAAGCTCCGTAGTGTAGCAGGGGTGAAGGGATTGGCCGGGTGACTTAGGCTCTCATTTTTAAGATTTTTGATGAGGATACAAGAGAAAGATTGGGTTAGTGCCCAATCTCCAAGAAGAGATACGGTTTTCTGCCATACCCACCAGAAAACAGATGTCTGCTGTCTCTGCCTCAGCCCCAGGCTAAGGGCTGGCGGCCGAGAGCAGTGCGATTTGTGCGGGGCGCACAGCCCCGCCCTGTGCTTGCTAGCGAAGCCAGGTGCTCTGGGACGCCACGCGTATTTCACTTGCCGCTGTGGTGCCTATGGCGGCGAAGGACGGGCTGGGGAGTGTGCCTATCTGCAAGTCTAGGCCGCTGGCCCCACAGCTGACAGCAGGTGGAAAGGCTGCTCTTGTGGGGAGATGGATGCATGTAGTGGGTTTCTCACGGACCCAACTCTAACTTCTTGCTTCTGCGCTCTCCTTCCCGCTCTCGATAGGGCGCCTCGTCTAAGGAGCAGAGGATCCAAGGGCAGGCGGAGAGTCCATGGGAACAGGACGGACCGCCAGACACCTAACCTTCAGCGCCGCCCACGGCCCAGACACGTCCCGTGTAACATAAGTGGTGCCCACCATGTTTGCACTTTTAATGACTCTTACTTGCGCGTTTTGTTTTTGGTTTCATTTTTAAACACCAGTATCTAATACCACAGTGGGAAAAGGAAAGGGAAGAAAGACTGGTTATTCTTTCTCTTATTGTAAGTTTTTGATCTGCTACTGACAACGTTTAGGTTTTTTTGGGGGGGGGACAGGGAGGGAGTCGTTGGGGCTGAGAAGAAAGAGATTTATATACTGTATATAAATATATTTGTAAATTGTATAGTTCTTTTGTACAGGCGTTGGCATTGCTGTCTGTTTATTCCTCCCCTCTCCCTGCTGTGGGCTGTGGGCACTCTGGACACAGGGTCCAGCTTTCTAGAACCCAGGGCTCTATCCCCAGCCTACTTGGATTCTGTTTGGAGACTGACACCCATGTGTATATAGAGGGGAGCCCTGCGGTCGTATTGCGGACCCCATCGGTTCCTTTGAGGTGGGGAGGAGTGTGCCACCTCATGCCATTTGTTGTCAAAGTTGACAAGTCACTTGGCCTCGTCCAGGGAGACTGGTTTGGGAGAGGCGAGGAGTCCAGGTCTGTGAGTAGCCAGCACAGGCACCAGCCTGGCTTGGCCCGAGTGTTCCTGCTGTCCTGACCCCTGGGGGCCCAGCCCTGCCTGTGCACCAGTATCTTAGTGACCTCCCGGGCAGATTATCTACAAGGGGTCTGCTTAGGTCAGTTTAAACATTCCCATCCATGTTTAGCATCTATATTGTATAAAGAATGAGGGGGAGGCAAAGAGAAAGAAGACACACAGCAGGGCTTTGTTGTCGTTGTTGTTAAGTAGATGTTTAATATCTAAGCAGCAGAGGGAAGACAGACAGCCTGCACGGGGTGTACAGCGCCAACCGGACAGCCCGGAGGCTCCGGAGACATGGCTGTCTCAGTGCCAGGGCAGACGGTTTGACCTCGCCTCTCCTGCATGGCCCACCGTTGTCCTCAGTGGGCAGCACAGGCCTGGGGGCGGGATGGGTCGGTCACCTTGTTGGTAACACCATAGTTGTTTGTTCTTTTTTTATTATCCAATGCTGAGGTTCTTTCTGTTCCCTTAAATTTTCTTTTGGGCTTCCAGTCTTTGGGCCAATTCTAAAAGTAAAACTGATCTTGGATCTCCTACTGCTGCCTCCCCGGGAAGGGCAGGGGTACTGCGCCAGCTATGGGGACACCCAGGCCCGGCTTTCCAGCCGGTGTTTTTGCTGCCCAGCCTTTGGGTCAGATGCGCATTTTCCTCTGCCCAGGTCATGTGTCCACTCTGGGTGGGCCTCAGACACAGTGGCAGTGACCCTTAGAGCCTCTTGCCACGAGCAGCCATGGTGGCAGCGAGGGAGGTCAGGTGGCCCTGCCCCGGTGCCCTCATCTGATCACTCTTGGAAACCTGGCCTCATCTCATATTCTACCCCAGTATCCCCGCAAATGTGCCCACCTTGGCAGGCTGTGCATCCCCTTCCAGGGCTGGAAGGCACTGGCAGTGTAAGCACAGCCCCGTGGGAGGAGCAGGCCCTGCAGAACATGATCTGATGGGGTCTTGGGCCAGGAGAAAGTCCTAGAGGTTGTCTCAGAGATGGCAGGCAGCCCCATCCCACACGGTAAGGTGGAAAGGAAGCCCTCTCCCATTCCATTCCTCCCAACCAGAAAACGCAGCGCGGATGGACCTTGCGGGAGACCCCAGCCCATTTCTGGCCTGGAGGAGGCATGTACGCGTGGAGAAGGCGCCTGCTTGTAGAAGCCCAGAATCTTCTGTAGGCATCTTGTCTCTCACACCTGTGTGTGGGCTGTGTTGTGTGGTTTTCCTTTTTGAAGTAGGGAGGGAAACTATTTGTAGCTTGTTTTATAAAAAATAAAAATGGGTAAACCTTGGCAGGTGTTGCCTCTTTCTTTGGGTGGCTTCCTCTGATGAAGTCTCCATTTCCTAGAAGGTTTAGTCCTTTTCCCTGTGCAGTTAATGAAGTCGCTGGCAGGGCACCCAGCATCGGCCACCAGGTGGTACTCACTGTGTGCTCTGTGATTCTTCCTCCTACCTCTACCCACACACCTGCTCTATGGGGTCCCCTCCCCCGTCACTGGAATGTAGGGAATGTTGCTGGCAGAGCATTGGGGGCAGGGCTGGGGGAAGCCCATTCCATGGCTGCAGGCTGGTGGGAGTGGGTGCATGGGCCCTAATCCAGATCACAAGACCCCGGGCTGGGATGCAGCTGTAAGTGGGGAGCAGACCCCCCAGCAGGCTTCATGCAGTGTGTCCCCCGGTTTTGTTGGGTACATGTTTTGGATGGCAGAGGCTGCTGGTCTGGTTTGTAGAGCTGGAGGACTTCGGGACTGCAAATGGCAGCAGGGGTTGGGGCTCTAGATTTTCTCCGGTGTGACTGGCCTCTTTCCCTTTTGCCCACTCTCTGCACGCAGCTGTTCCTGGAAATGACCTCAAGCACCCATTTGAGAACCTCCAGGTTCCTTTTGCCACATTCTGTTCCCTTGTCCTTTGCGGGTAAACAGAATATAATTTCCCCTTGCAAAGCTTTCTTCCAAGTTTTTCTTTAGCTAAGCTTTCCTGGGAAAAGGTCTAAGGCCTTGAATGTGGTCACACGGGCCCCTTTTTCACGGCTTCAGAAGAGAGGTCAGCCTGATCACGTCACTTACCAAGTGCCAGACACTGTGCTTGCTGCATCTACAGGCTCTGTCGTATACAGTGCTCACCACGACCCAGCGACACAGGCATCTTTCTCCCCACTTCCCAAGTGTGGACTCAGATCCAAGAGTTCAGTGACTTGCTAGGGGGGCCACCCAGCTGGGAAGGGCAGAGCAGGGGTCACCTGCAGCTCTGCCCACTCCGCAGCTGCCTTCCTTGCGGGGCTAGAACAGCAGACTTCTCTCTCCTGTCTGGCTTGGACGCTGGGGGTTTGCACTGAGCTGTGAGTGTAAGAGCGTAAGAGCAGTTAAGGTTTTCTCACAAACCACTACTTCGTCTAGGCCTGTCACAGGCTTCAGGGATTTGGGGAAGAGAACTAAGGAAGGCGTTTGCCCCTGCAGGACCTCACTGGGAGATTTGGGGCTGACCTTGCCTCCAGCAGAGAGACCCGGCTGGTGTGGGAAGGGGCAGGTCTGAGTGAGTCACGCTTGACTGCTGGGTGAGCCTGCATGCAGCCCCACCCTGCCTTCCCCTGCTTTGTGTGACAAGGAGAAGGGTCAACACCTTGCTTCTGTGCCTGCCTACTCCTACAATGCCTGCACTAGATACGTGACATCGGGGTCTCTTGTCATTTCTTGTCAAATTAGGGTGGGGCACTCTGGCCAATTACTTCTACTCTTCTGTGCCACCCCCAACCAACACCCCATCCGTGCAGCCCCTCCCACCTGCCCCACCCTGTTTCCCTTTCCCAGGGGGCACTCTGTGAAAGCTCTTTTCCCTGTATCCTCCTCGTCAAAGCATTGACTCTAGCTAATGGTTGATGACCCTGTAGGTATCACGCCAGACTAGGCCTGTCTGCAAGTCCAGGGCAGCCTTGATTATTCACACCCTTGATGGTCACGCATGCAGCATCCTCAGATGCGGTCTCTCCATGAGACGACGGACACGCTGCTAAGCTACTCATAAGGATCAGGAAAGACCAGGATAAGTTGCGGTGATATACACCTCTCCCAACCTCAGCAGCTTAGAATGTAAAGTTTTTTTCTCACTCCTGCAACACAGACATTGCCTGTCACCTGGGGCGCTTCTCCACATTGTCCTCCCCCAGGGACCCTGGCCGAGGGAAGCTCCGTCCTCCACGATGGCAGAGGCAGAACAAAGGGAACATGATAAATCACACCCTGGTTCCTAAAGCTTCCATCTGGAAGTGACATTTGTCATTTTGCTCACATTCCAATGACTAAAGCAAATCACATGGCCCTACCTAACTCAAAGGCAGCTGGCAAGTGCCCAGAAATAGACTCAGAAATATCTGGTGAACAACTCTGGTGACTGTCGCAGCGTAGGTTATCTTTGTGCTTTCTTTTCCATCTTGATTAAAAATGTGCAAGTTTGACATTGTCTACGGACAAAGAGACTTGCTTTTCTCGGTTCACGTGGTGCGTTTTATGTGCATTACCTCTGACAGGTCCGTGACACTATGACCGGCGGAGGGGAATGCACACCTTCCCTCCACTTGGAAGCCACCCCTTAGGTAGCTGAGGCCCCGAGCGCCTCTGCGGTCCCCACAGAGCTGGAGACTTGGAGACGGAAGGGGAGGCCCGGGTAACCCGGGGGGAAGTGGCTGGTTGAGGGAGCTCAGCACCCTGAGGTACGCACATGAAACTTCTGTTGCCTCTGGAACCATCGCTCCCAGCTATCTCCTGCTGCGTCACCCCCGCGCTGTGTAGTGGACCCTTTAATGACAATACAGGCAGTTCCCCTAGCGTCCTGGTCACTTCAGTTACTTACAAGCTCAGTTCTGTCCAGTTGCAGAACTTCGATCTCTAGCTTGGTTTAAACCCTTCTCTGCTCCCTGCCCGCGCACACTCTTGTGCTGGTCCCCTGACTGCTTGGTGGGGAACAGTGGGGCCATGGTTGGGCCCTGAGACATTCCTCCTCCACTCCATCCTGACCCGGCAATTCTGAGGTGATAAGAGAAGGGAGAGGAAAATGAGGAGGGTCTCTAGACAGACCACAGCTGTAGCCCTGTGTGCGCACTCTGGCAGCTTCTCAGATTAACACTGGCCTTCCCACTATGCGGTAGGTGTCCAAGTGCTAGCCCTCATGTAGGGCACATGTCCAGTCCTGGGGCCTTGATATGGGCAGTGCAGTCCTAGCTTGACCTTGTCTACACTGCCCATGCCAGTATATACCAATAGAGCCTTTTCTGCTGTGTTCTGTGGCCTCCGCCTTTGGTTCAGCACCTATAATGTGGCTATGGCTAGCTCCCTTCGGGGGTGTCCATTCCCCCATGGGAACCCACACACCCTGGCCATGCCGCGTGGGGAGGGTGCAGGCTGACCCTTGCCTGCCTCCTCTCCTGGTCCTGCATCCTTCCCCGCTTTCCTTCTCCCTCACTTCAGTAGATGGAGGAGGCTTAGTATGTCTGCTACATCGCACGTGTCCAGCTGGGAAGTGAGATGCCAGGCTGGCAACCAACCTGAATCCTTAGGGACAATTCTCTCAGAGCATCCCTGTGGTTTTGGCTTCAAGGGGGAGGAGAGGAAGCAATCCAATGATTCTTGGCTTGCTCTCTCCTTTCTCTTCCAAGTCTTCTTTCATAGATTGGGATGAGGAGAGGGTGGCTAGTTGCCGAGCTAATCCAATATCATATTAGTTATCCTTGGGCTAAGTGTCAGACCCCAAGTGTTCCTCAGGATATGGGCTGCTCTGCATCTCTATATTCTTAGTTTTGGGCCCTAATGACCAATTCTTAGGAAACAAAATGTCTCCCCCCGCCCCAAAGTCCTATTCTGGTGGATTTAGTGATAGTTGCAGGGAAGTTGGTCCCAGAGAGATCTTCTACCCCAGCATGGAAGATGATGAAGCCCCCCGTGTCCTGAGCACAGAGAACCCCAGTAGCTCCAACCCCAGGCCCAGCAGCCTCCAGGCTCTGGCCATCGCAGGACCCTAATGAGTCTGCCTAGACAACTCTGTCCTTGGAGGCCCCAGACTCCCATCTCCTCCAGGGCCAGATGGGACCCCTGGGGACCCACTCATCCCTGCTGCTCACACAGGCCCCCACGCTGTGTAAATCCTCGTGACTGGCCCTTTTCTTGCACGATCAAACCCCTTGCAGTGCTGGCACAGTGGAGCAGTTGGGTCTTTTTAAGGGAAGGACTTTTAGAGATGTGGCATGTAGCTGTACACGGAATCCTCAGTCTTCCCCCCTCCCTAGCGCCCAGCCTTTAGCGATTCTTCCCACAGCACACCTCATCCCACCCAGGACGAGAGAGAACTCTGCTTTCTGGAGGAATGTTTGCTATGACTCCCTTGAATATAGGTCCCTTCAAAATCCTTGACTGGATGTGAAATGGGGCTGGTGGAGACTCACCCAGGACCCCAGAGAGCCTGAAGATGGGAGCATGACTACCGGCTTTGCAGCCTTCTCCTTGGGGAGAGCAGGGAGAGACAGGAGACAGGGAGAAGGACACAGGTTGCAGCAAGAGCCCATGAGAGGCGAGAGAGTAGGATCTGCCTGGCCCCAGCATGCTGGTTTTGTTATTGTCCCCAGTATCTCAGAAAGAGTCCTGGACCTCTAGTCGGAAGGTCAGCTTCTCATCCTGGTTTAGCCATTGAACTACCTTTGACCTTGGGTATCCCTTCACCTTCTATAGATATGGATTATTTCTGTCTGGGCCTTTCCCTCCACTGCACGTGGGGTCAGTGGGTCTTGCACGAAGGGGATTTGTGTGTTTCTGGGGAGGAGGGACACACAGCGGGCAGGGGGTCCAGACACGCTGAGCATCAACACAGTGAAAAGGGCCAGCGCGGAGTGGGGAGACTGTGGGAGCCACCCCTCTAGGTGCAGAACAGGCATGAGAAAGCCTGCTCTGAGGGAGTGGATCCACATCATAAGGGCTGTGCTTACCGGCACAGGAAGGAGAAAATGAGATGAGTATGTTTAGAGAGGAAATAAGATGCAGACAGAGCAAGAGGTAAAGAGATGTGCAGGCTGAGGGAGAAGCAAGGCAGGAGGTAATGAGAGCAGTGGCAGAGAGAGCCTGGGGAAGGGTCATCTTGAGTGAAGAAAAGTCAGGACAGGCTGGAGGGGATGGACGTGGTGGGGAGGGGCAGGTGGGAGGGAGGTGGAAGGTGGGTGGGGGTGGAGGAGGAGGGCTTGGGAGGAGCAAGGTGTCTCAGATTGGAGAAACACACTAGAAATAGGCCGAGGTGCTCTGATAGGCTGTTGGTG